CAATTAACTGGAGAGCCTCATCAGGCTTGGCACGAAGGGTTGGACAAAGAGCTGACCATGGGCCTTCACCAATACGACGAAGCCAGCGCTCGACTGTAGATGAAGTTTCCACCTTAAGCAAAATTAGTGCACAGCTTCTAAACTGCACATGGTTAAAGAAGAATGGGCACCTTTCCAGTGGCCTTCGCAACAGCTTCACGTGTTCCCCAGTTAATCACATTTAGGTTAATGAGCGAGTAGAGCGTCAGAAATACATAGGTAGAAGGGATCATAAGGAAAAATACAACACCTGATCAGTCAAATCTCGTCTTTGTACCAATACCGTAAAAAACGTTATTTGACGTACCATAAATAATGTTCGTGAATTCTTTTGGATGTAAGCAAGCAGCAGTGAAAAAAACTATAACCATTGTGACTATGAACATTGATGTTGGCGAAATCACAGCTTAACAGAAGTTTTGTTAATTAGGAAGAAGCATTAATCCGAATCAAATGAGATACTCACTTTCCAATACAATCTGTGACGCCGTAGCAATCAATACTGCAAGCATTACAAAGGCGTAGATAATTGACATAATCTAAATGAACGGTTTCTTCAGCAAAATAAAACGTAATCAGCGAAACAAGGAAAAAAGGATTTGTGAATTATCCAAGTCCTTATACTTTTGCGTAAAACAGCTGCACATTAGATTCAGTCGTGAAGCAGATTATGACAAACAGACTGATGGGGACACCATTATATAGCATCATTCTGGTAGAATCAACACCGAACGCAGCCACCTATAATATTAATGAGAGAAAAACGTAAACTGTAACAAAGTAAAGTCTGTCAATTGGAATCGACTAAACGAAATTATTCGCGACTACTGTTGATACCAGAGGAATATAAGAACCATTTGTAGTACATGTTAAGGTTCACTTGCACTTGCTGATTGAATCCTAGGATGAACCTGTCAATTATTTCCGGCCAAACCCCATTCTTTCCCCGATCCTCAATACAGGCAAAACGATTAACTTGATACAATGTACGTGCAACTCATGCTGCGCCTCTATAGCTCAGTGGCAGAGCGTCTGTCTTGTAAACAGAAGGTCTGTGGTTCGATCC